ATTTAGGTTGTAACCTAAATTAATTTAGGTTGTTTTTTACGTTGTGTTTTTCGTGAATTACATAACCTAAAGCATCGAAATCACTGTGAATTACCAGCAACCTAAAAACAGGGAATCTGGAGACTCAGGGTACGGCTACTACGACCACGCCTACGACAACGACGACTACTACTACTCCTGCTTTTTGCTCGCCCTGACCTCCCTGACTCCAAATTCCATTGGACAGCTCTGATATAATCTTTCTAGCAATTTTGGTCCTGCACAGGCGTAGGTTCATGCTTCGTAAGCCAGCCAAGGCCTGCGACTGCTTCAATAAAGCTTTGTAGTCTTCCATGTGGGTGCTGACCATGCCTTTCGGCCTCTGCGCAACAACCCGCAAAAGGTTTCGCAAAGGTTCTCCACGGGGTGCCGAGGTGCCGGCACAGCACCAGTTTCCTTTAAAATTGTCTTGATGCGTTTCATGCAAAAGTAGCCTTGGCAATCAGTTCTGGAACACATGCACTACATCTGCTGCATACCGCCATGCAAATACCGTCCACATCGGAAAGATCTCAGTCGCCACGGGAAGCAATTCCAGACGCGGTTGGCCTTGCCCAAAATGCGCATTTTCACCGCGACAAAGCTGAAGCATGTTTCACTTGGGTGGCACTTTAGTGTCACTGGAATGCTGCAGACCACCTTTGCATCCAATCAGGGCGCACCAGTTCAGGCCTGAGTTTGCGAAAGCATACTCGTATGAATCCGTCGCGACACCGCTTCCGATGCTGGTATACCAAGCATGGCTCAGGAACGCACAACTCGCCGGCAAGCTCTACTGCTGCCGGGCTCGAGGAGGACGAGCAACCTTCGACTTTTCATGTAAAGTCTTAGCGGGACATTCTCCCTCCCACGTAATTTGGGCAACCGACGAAGCTGGTTCAGTGTCGACAGCGCGGCAACCGCATAGTTGGTACTGCAAGCACGGGGCAACATCAAAACACAGCACCGCTTCCGCTGCCATGGTCGATGACACCTGTTGCTGCAATGACGCTTGGCTAAGATTGTAGCGCGCCATTTGTTGGGCCGGCCATAGAAGGGTCGAAGGCACGCACGTGATCCTCACAGGCATTTCGAAAGCCAGAAGATTGCAGCGGACAAGGCTAAGGCAGCCTGCGCTTCAGCCATGCTCTGCACGTCGGGGAAGATGGGATGAAGCCTTGCTGTCCATCGAGCAGAGACATGTCTAGGAATCAGGCCACACTCAACCCTGCAGAGAAACACCGACAGTCTGATTGAGTTTGATGGAGCACCAAGGCTCGCGCGTCAGTGCCTCAAAAAACGAGACCCCGACCTTGCTATAAGCACAGCCAATGCAGTCGCCGCAAACACACCCAAATGCTTAGAATGACCTTCTGGCATGCGGCGGTCTCCAAGTTGCCTGTACAGTACTGAGCCACTGACGCACCAGAGGTCTGACGCCGCAAAATGCATCTCCTCTCAGAAGGCACTGCTGTCAAACTGTTTCGGGAAAAGGCTATCCGAGCCCTTGAACGTGCCGTAATCCTTTCGTGGTCCTGCAAAAGAGCTTCGGGACTTGCGTATGACGGACCTGCGCAAGAAATACTGCCCGGCTGCTAGAAGCAGAATGAAGCAGCTTGGGTCGGCAAACGGCAAGGCTACGCTGCGTGGGCCTGCTTCGTGCTTAACTACAGCACCCACCGAGTTGCATAGAAGCGTTGCCACGAAGTTGTCTCGCTCTTGCCATGTTAGACAGACGAATCGTGGAAAATTTCACCTGTACGCTTTGAAAAGCTTGCGCAAGCAGCCAGAGGCAAGGGCTTGTCACGGGCGCGGCCACTTTGGCATGTGGGTTCGGGAAAGGCCTGTACAGTGGCAGCAAGGCTGGCCAAACATGGAGCCAACACTGCACATTCGGCTGGGACTCAGCACCCAGCCCAGTCCCTGGAAGCAGCATGGCACTTCCAAGGTCACCAATCTGACGAAGCATGCACATCCAAGTCTACCGTGTTACCGTGACAATTACTTCCATGCCGATATGACGACACGGCGTGAACAGCTGCAGTCCGGCATTTCCACAACACTCAATATTTGAAGAGGGGCCTGCAACAGCCGACTGTCTTCGGCGATAAGCAGGTTTCCGGGCTTGATGTCACGGTGAACAACCTGGGGCCACACCGTCCGAGTCGTTTCTGCTTGCAGCACGGGTGATTCCGAATTTCCACGTGGCCTCAATTCTGGTCTACACTTCGTCACTTCGGGGTAGCCCGTGGCGATGGCAGCATCAGGCAGAAGAGCGCGCGCATGGTAGCTCTAGGGTTGCCGCTCCTCGCCAGTGAAGATATGCCAGCCCGTGGAGCGTTTGCACGTACCTTTCAGAGGTTCCAACTGACGGTGCGCACTGGCACTCGCTCGATTCATAGAAGTCATAGAAGAATCTGAGAAGCCGAGCCAATCTGCAACAAGCTCGACTGAATGCTGCACTTCCTCAGACTCCGCTCCTGGAAGACTGGTCGCTTGAAGTTCGCACCAGACTTCGTGCACAAGTCCTCGTGCGGCTTCAATCCGGTGTAAGAGGCTCCCGCCATCCTGGCAAAGGCCGCGTCTCAAAACGGAAGCACAAACGACTCTGAAGACAAACAGTCGGCCCTTACCAGCAATGGCATCACCACGTACCGCCTGAAAAATCTGTCAACTAGCACGCTACACGAAGGAAGCTGAGACTGTGAGTAAGGTTCCAGCAACTGCTCCGATCGATTCTCCCAGGTGTCCAACGTAAAAACCACTGTTGGCCAGCCTGGAGTAGAATTCAGCACTCGTACTCGGGAACTCCATGTAATTCTTTCTTTTTGGCTGCACGAAACCGGGGGTGCGCACTGAGCTCGCGCAGAAGCCTCATGCAGTAAGCATGTCAGGACCTAATACTGACGATACAGATGGAAGCATAAGGACTCAAGCTTCCACACACCATCAGTACCCATGCAAAGTGAAAACACGGTGCAAGCTTCATGCCATCTGAAAGACAGATGTCAAACGATGTAAAGGTACTGCGGCAACACAATCGAAGAGCAGCTGTTGTCCAAAGCTACCAACCGCGTCTTGTTTGCACCTGAGTGTGTCAGTGTCTATCCTGCCCGGACATGTCGAAACGTAATGCGGGGCAGTGCAAAATCGGTTATCCATTCGGTTTCCCGGGATGTATCTCCACACTACAGACCGGCCTAAATTCTCATAAATTGGTACGGAGAATCTGCATGACAACCCGATGGTGTGCATAGTTCTATCGGGAGATATCGTGAGCTCTGTGCGCCGCCGTCACTCAGAGCATCATGGCGACAATGGAAAGCAGGCAGTGCTGCGCAAAACTAGGAAGTAGAAGTAGAAGTGCCTCACAAGTGCCAACAGTGCCATCGCCAACTCCTCGAAAGCAATCTGAAATAACGTCATGAATTTGTGGGATCCTAGGCATGTCATGCTCGAACGAGTCACAGACCCTAGAAGGCCAGGAGTCGCCAAGTTCAGGTCTGAATGTCTGAGTTATTCTTCATTTGGGCTGGCCAGCATGGTTGGCAAACGGGCGCGGACCGAGCAATGATGTGATCGGACAGTCACAAATCATTGCTGCACGTGACATACGTGACAAGCTACGAGAAATGCTGTCCCTTGAAGGGAAACTGCAATGGCCGGACAATCCGCATTTTTGCGCAAATGTGTTTTTCTCGTGCACCTACTCGAGTGGAAATTTGGTGGAGCTTTAAGCATCTGTCTGTGTTCAGGTCTGCCTGAGCTCTGCGCGCATGCAGAAACAGTGTACAGAGATATGGTCACGCGCTCCGCGGCCCCCCCCTCCCTCCCCTTCATTGGTCCAGGATGCCCCTTTTTCCCCGTGGGGTGGGGTGTGGGGTCCCTCTTCCCCCAGTGGGGTGGCTGTGAAAACCCCTGTAACTGATACTAAACTAAGAGGAGCGCGTTTGCATTTGATCCGTTTTTGCGTTTGGATTTGACCCCTTTCCGCGTTTGGATTTGACCTTGATGAGGACTCAAAGCACCGAGCCGAACAATTCACTAGATCTACAAGTTCTGAGGCATGTCAATCTTGGACGCCTGCACACTATCGCCGGTTTTCGTCCATTTTTGCTCCGAGCTTTAATATCTTTTCTTGGCCATCCTCACTCCCCAAGCAGAACTGATGTCACTCCTGCTGATATCTTTTGGCTGAACAGAACCTTCGCAAGCCCCGTCAAGTCATGCCACCACTCTCGAGCTACACAACGGTGAAGGTTGTGCAGCTTGCAATGACAATAATCAATGATGGCCCTCAGCTGGAGGCTCTAGCAAACGCATGCACGCAAACAGCCACGCAATCAACAACTTGGCAAAGAAGGTCAAAGAAAACAAATGGCATTTCTCCTGCACTTCATGATCCAAGTTGGCCACCTCAGTTCCCGTTCGATCTCTTCGTTGGCATTCTTGAGACGTCGCCTCAGCGCAAGAAATTCAGCGGAGCGCTGTGCTGCGCATCGTTCTGCCACGCTCCCAAGCTGGGGGCATGTTGATCTCCTTCAAGGCTATGGTTTCGTTATCACGTAGCCGCTTGGCCTTCGGACGTGCACTGCAGCTTTGTGGAAGGGCTGTCGCGCTTCTGAGCTTGCGGCCTTGTGAACACAAGCCGTGGCGCCACGGCCCAGTATGTCCTCCCAGTCCCGTACAATGTGCTGCTCGCCACATCTGGCACCCCTGCCGCACTCCAAGATGGCCTTCCGAACAACTCTGCATTTACATTCTAAACAACTTACGTTCCCTATGATGCCACTGATGAAGTTTCAGGCATCACAGCTACCCGCAGCTATACTCCGTTAAGTCAACCCTGGTGATTCCTGTTTCTCGTAGGGGACTTGAGCCCACATGAGTCCCGTAATCACAATGCTAAGGGCAACAAAAGTACAGCAGGAGGCAGTTTAAAATCTACACCCGCCTCGCCGTGCAGCTTAAGCTAAGGCGGACAGTCACACACGGGCTCCAGGCTGCCCGGGGCTTTCGAACGAACGGTTCAACACCAAAGCGAGCTTGTATGAATGCACGTGAAGAGAGCCATGCGTGCCCAAAACATGTTAATTACGCAACTAGAACCAAAAGCGCCGCACGGCAAACAATACCGGCGGGAGCGGTTCCACTCATCCCACTCGGATAATGCGGGGCGGCAGCAGCAGCGGGCGACCTCTTTGGGGTGCCTTTGTTTCGTGCTGCAATTTGGCGATTCTGCTCTGCCAACCGTGCAGTAGCCGCTGACTGCAATTCCGCACTGCTCCTCCACTGATGAGCCATTCTGGCGTACCTCCCCATCGAATGTAAGGATTTTGCGAGGCTCGGGTGCGATCATGACAATGTCGGTGTAGCAGTGTAGCGGCGAGGAGGGAGGAAAGCACCCATATACGTAAAGCCGATGGGCACATTTCCAACGTCATCGATGAGGCGCAAAGTGCGGAGGAGCTCCACTTCGCAAATGGCATGGAAGACCAGCTTGCCCGGACCCGCACACGATTCCGTGGAATTGTAGGTAGAACCTGCACGTAGGTGTCACTGTTCTTCGGGCAGCTTCGTCGCCCTTGTCGCACGATCCTTGGCGTCACGAATGACTGTGGCCTCGGCGCTCATCTGCCCGCGCTTTTTCGTGCCTTGATTGGGTGACGCAAGTCTGCGGTGATGAAGCCTTCGATCGGTTTTTTGGAACCGGCTGCGGCCGTTGCAAGGAGGTTCTTGCAAAGCTCTTTTGGTTCTCAAAGAACCTTGTTGGTAACTGTGGCAGACTCATCGGTTTGGGCTTTGCATCATAGGCAGAACAACATACCCTTGGCGATAACAGCTTGGCATTGAGCGCAAAGGTATACCCAAAAGGAAAGTCGACCTCGTCACCGGCATCCGTCGTGTCGCTATCCGGATCAAAAAACTGAAGGCTCACTCTCGCGGGCGGCTGTATCCTCATCCATGGCAACCTCTGCCATCATGGGGGCCGCCGCAGGTTTCACCTTGGTCTGGTTTCGGCCACATAGAGAGGAAGGTCCTTTTTGGACGTGTCAACGGCCGAGGTAATGCAGCCCGCGGGGATATGATTCCTGGCCAAAGTTCCGTTCGATTCACTGACAAAGATCTCGCATCCAGATGCTATAGCTTTGAGCGTGTCCACTGCGATCTCGATGCCTCGTTAGACGGTTAGACCTCATACCACTTTTGTAGGCAGTATCATCGAGGCGGTATGCGGACAGATCAAAATGTGCCCGACCAGAGGTCTTGACGCCCGGGACAATGCCACCTGACAGAATGCTTCCAAGGGGTGTGTGGCGACGTGCGATGAAAGAGCTTCTTGGGCGTGTCAGCGCGGGACAGCTCGGTAACTCCTGTGTCGTTCGACTTAATGAGGGCAGTCTGACCAGTCGATGCCCCATGGGCGATGGGCGTTGGCGACAGTTCGGTTTTACCGATTACAGCTCGGAGTGCAGATGCGAAGAGATCACTGGTAGCTTCTGTTGTGGGAGCTGCACTAAATTTTTTTCTTCGACCTCGGGAGCCTGGTCTTCCTGCTCGTGTGGCCCTTCGCCAATGTTGAGTACATGAGGCCTTCCTGAAATTCCCTCAAGTTCCTTAATCCGAGGGCCTGATTTACAAAATGGTCCACATTTAAAGCAATTTTTCGGGACGGATTTGGATCTGAAGATGAGTTTAGATTGCGGCGGGATTTCGTCTGAGGAAAAGGGTACACATTTAAAGAAAATGTGTATTGCAGGCGTAAGGTTTGAGGCTGCACAGCTTCAGACTTGCTTCTCATTTCTGCGCCCGGAGCTGCTCGCCGATCTGCAGTCTGCAGGGCCAGTTGGGTTGAAACTGCATCCATCCAGCCTTGTCAAATGGCTTTCTAATAGAGAAAGAGATGGTTTTCCATTAATGCGGCCCCCGGCATCCT